TTCTTAGTCACAACATCTTGGAAGCCCCATCTAGTTTACTCATTGTATTGGGATTCTTCCAGAAAATATTAATAAAGAAAATCTATAGTTAATTTCTAAAACTTCTATGGCAAATCCTGTAATACTCCAAGGCTTTCTATAGTTAGTTTGGTATGGTACCAGAAGGATAATTAAGTCCTAGAATTGCAGCTGCTAAGTAGTAGAAGTTACTGATTATAGCTTTTGCTCTTTTTCCCTCCCAACTGTCTGGCATATGCTAATGAATAGTAGTTAAATTTTTTGAAAACTGAGAAAAAGTAAAGCCAAAGACATTCATTTAACAAAGGTTAAGTTATTGACTCTTGGATTAGTTAGAGTTCTACTCGTTTGGCTGACTCAGGGATCTGTTAGTGGAAGAGAAAGACTAGGATGTCTGCCATCATGTTAAAAGTTTGTGGGATTCTTGGTGCTTACTCAAGATTTAAGTTTCTGTGATATTTGACATAAGTATTTACAGTGTGTTCAAGAATTCTTATATTCAAATTACTGTTAAATAAGCAATTGTGGATTTATCTTCAAAAGTATTAAGGCATGGCAAACCTAAATCCACTCAAAAGGAATTTTAATTTAGTGGATTTAATCACTAAAAATTAGGAAATACAGACTAAAAAGTTTTGTGTAGCATGCACAAGGTAGATGTCACAAAGGACACACACACCGTCCCCCCTCCCCTGCCCACACGCACACTCACGATGAGATCTGAAGAAAGACGTGAAAGACGTGTCTGGGTCACCAGAGTCTAATCGAAGGGAATAGTTGAGGTAGTTTTTCAAGTACTTGGGTCAAAAAAAACACATTTACCTCAGATACTTGGACAATTGCCTCTGCTTTCCACTTGCTTTCGCCAAGAAAGTTCGCCATAGAGACAGACCAAGATTCCGTCTCATCAGCCTTTGCAGGACCGAGACCGCCCCCGGTGGCTGGACCATGATTGACCTGGTGCCATCGTCACGCATAGGACCCTCCCCCCACCCCCCAGCCCCGCACTAAACCGCAGTGATGCACCTGCCAGTAGTGGAGTCTGCCCACGAATTAAACGTTCTCCTTTCCATTGAGAATAAACAAATTAAAAGTCTACTAGGGGGCAGATCTTCATAACTGTTCCATGCCAAAGCTGAGATAATGAGCTGAAATGCATCCTATTTATAATAAATACAGAATTTAGAAAATAGCTAGAGTGCTTCAAAGGTAGAACTTGTTAGTAGTTCTATTTTGTAAAGCCTGTAGTAAAACATAGCAGCTTTCCCAATCCCTACTGAAATTATAAAGTACATCCATGATTTGAAATGGTATTCCTCAATCTAAGTTCAACACGCCTTGATGTAAATTCCAGGAAATTTCCAAATATATCAACAAAGTAATTCATTCAGAATGAGTCAAACCTTTAAACTTTAAGATGGGTCTTGAAAATGATCTAGTCTAACACTGTATTTTACAAGTTCAAAAATTAAAATCTAACGATGTAAGGATAATAAACTGGTGGATACCACTGTAAAGCATGCACTGATGTAAATTTTCTTTTTCCTCACTGGAGAACTGTGAGAGAAGTTTCCTCAGAGGATTTCTTTTTGTTTTCTTCAGTTAATTGTTCCCAGCTTTCTTTGTCTTAGAGTGAAGCTGGTTAGCTCTTGGCAAACTGGAATTTTTTCACTCATTCCAGGAGAGAAAGCAGGACAACTTCAGAGCTCAGTAGGCATGGCATGCCTTCAGACACCCCACTCCGTGCCCCATCGAGGCGCTGTGCGTCAGTGTTTATGTACCAGACAGAAATTCCAAATCCAGCTGCTAATTATGTCAAATTAAAAAAGCAGAATAGATAATCCATGATATCCAGAAGTCTTTTTGAACATGAATAATGGTAGTTCATTTTTTTAAAATTTCTATTTGTGTCAGCAAAATGCAATGTTTATAATTCCAGTCCTTAGGTTATAAAAAAACATATGAATATGAAACAAAAGGTAAAGATGTATAGTTATCTAATTTAATGTATAATATCACATAATAAAATATAATTATAGTCTATATTATAATACATATTATGTATCATAAATAATATATTTGTTATATAATAATATGAATTGATTAAGGTCTTATTATTTACCATGCACTATTTTAAGAGAAGAAAATTATTTTTATCTCCATATTACACATGAGGAAATTGACTCCCAGTGAGGCTAAGTTATTCACCCAAGGTCATTCAGCTACTAAATAGGAAAGCAAGATTTGAATCCGGGTAACAGATGTGCCCCCCAGCTCCCTGCTGTAACGCCGTGTACACAAATGCTCATTCCAATGTATCCAATGAAATAGAGTAATCAATGTGGAAAATTTAAATGTAGGCCTTTTTCTTTTTTTGGCAAGAAATGTTTATAGGAAGTCTGAGATGCAGATTTTGAAGTTTATTTTTTCCATGATATATTTATAGTTAATCTAATAGCCAGGGAAAACTATAGTTTTTACAATATATTTTTTCAGCCAGCCAATGTCATACAATTATAATTACAGTAACAAAAACAGTAAATAAATTGTAGTAGATATTTTTAAAGCTTGATTTTATAATATGCTCTTTGGCCTTAAAAATAGTTCATTCACAGTGTTTAAATATCTTAGATTATGATGTATGTCTCCGGGACTTTCATGCAAATTTTATCATGTGATCCTAACAAAATTGCTGTGAGGCAGTCATGCAGGGACTGGTGATCCCACTTCACAGGCAAGGGAAGTTTAAAAGATAAAAAGAAATACCCCTCAGCTTCACATCATAAAGACAGAATGGGGCCAGATACTAGTGTTCCAAATTAACTATAGAACTTACTTTTCCTCGATATGTTCAACTTCTCACCTAATGTAAAAATCATATCATATCATTTTTATTGCACATCTGTTTCACTGTCGGTGTATGTTTATTTTTTTCAAATTACATGAGATCGCCCACCCAAAACACTCTGAGGCTCTGATAATTCAAAGTTAGAGAATAAAGTAAAATTTTAAGTTACTTGAAATTAGAGTTTTATCATATCATCTCTTTTTTGGTTCATTTTATTAAACGAGAAGACCAAACACCTTAGTTTTATTACTGAAAACTAGGAGAAGCCTTCATGGTGTGAAATCCCTTTTAAGCAAGACAGTTTTCTTATGTAGGGTTTTTGTGAAACCTGCCATTTCAAGTCTCAGGAATGTGCAGTTCTTTTTTGACGGTGCCTTTTGCAGGCTGGCCTCCTGCCCACCACCACCTCCCTGCCATCGGCCCATCTCACCTGCCCAGCTCCCGGGAATTTGATGAAGTCACACATTTATTTAAGTTTTTAGTCCTTTCTGGTTCCTATCCCATGGCTCCTCCAACTACCATCATCACTGGGATTGACTGACACATATTCGAAAAGAAAGGAAGATACATTGCAAGGGCTCAGTAGAAAATCTCTTGGTATATAAATATAAAAATAATTCTTCCTTGAAGGTGACTATAGAGCCTGCACCTGTGTGGCAGAAGGCCCCGTATATTCCCTGCGTTAGACTGAGGCCACCCCATCAGCTCAGCACGACCGGGAGTTCAGTGTTTTCTCTGCTGTGGCACTTTTCCGTCTGCATTCGTGCTGAGCATAGGGTGCAGCCACACGTTATGATGGGAAAGTGCAGCTGCACCCTGTGCTCAGAAGGAATGCGGATTCCAGCATAAATCCAAAAGCCTTCTAGGCTCTTCTAAAAAGTAAAACACTATGTTAATTTCTGTTTGCCCCAAATTCGCCAGCAGTAATCGGCACTCTGGACACAGGAGGTGAGGACGCTGGCCGCGGTCACGGGCATTTCCTAGGGCTGTGTTAGAGTGACAGCTCCTTGACTGGGAAGCGCATGGGGTACAGCTGAGGGAGAGTCAGCATAGTGCAGGGTGACCTTGAGTTCACTTCATTTTTAGGAAAAGAAAGATGCAGAAACGTGTGAATTTTTAATATTACTAATAAGTAGCAAATATCTTGTGACACATCAGGGCATAGTTCTGCCTTCTGTGAGTGCCGCTGAACAGTCTAGGGTCTGTCACCCTGAAGAATAACTCGGGCACCAGCTCCCCGCAGCCTCTGGCTCTCCCCAGCCAGAGGTTGAGCCTCCACACATTCCTGAGAATTCCTGTTCTCCTTAGTGAATGACTGTCACCAGGGGACAGGAGTGCTTTAGAGTGGTCTGATTCCAATCATCAAACTAGCCTTAGTTATGGGCAGGGGAAAGAGGTGGGCGATCATCCTCTACATTACATGATTTTCTGTAATAAAGCAGCTAAATTTGTACATTCATAGAGTCATTAGAAGACCTGCACAGTGCCCTGGAAATGGTGCGGCTTTTGGCGTTAGCAAACATATGGTAGAAGTCCACCTCACCCATGAGTAACTTGTGGTCTCAGGCTAAGTCTAATCACTGCAAGTCTCAGATTCCATATTTATAAAAGAGAATAATAATTATTACTGTTCACTCATTGCCCATGATGACTTTCTGTGAATATTTTCCTTCACTTCCTTCAGCCATCAGTGTACAGGGAGACATAAAACATAAATACCGTATTCCTCCAGACACAAGTTCCCATGACCTCAAGCCCCAACCGCCAATTAATGTTTAGAATCACTGCTTAAATTCACCCTCAGGATTTTTTCCTTAGTGAGAAGTCTTCAAGGCGTAAGCATGTGTTTTAACAGGTAGACCTGTACTCTGTGGAGTGAAATCACAAAGAATCTAGGAGTTCGGGGTTTTTTTGAGCGGGTGGGGGTGTGGATACAATTAAGTTCCTGTTCTTTAGAAATTCAGTCGCTGTTACCAAAGTAAGAGAGGTTTGACCACGCCAGGATCACACATTGGTTGTTTGTTATTTCAATTTACCCTTGAAGGACACCAGGCAAATCCCCAAAGTACACGGCTTCCTGCCCCTGGCGAGGCATCCACACCTACCCCTTCAGCCTTGATCTTTCCTCTTGCAGGTAAAAACAGAAAAGATGGAGAGAAAAACATGATGGATCCTTTTCTCCCCGTCTGTGCCAGCCTGCCTCCGGCCTGGTGATCGCTGACACTCACCATTTGTGTGAAAGCTTTTTTTTTTTTAACATATTATACTAGATTTTACTAATTTACTCAATCTCGTAGCTTCTGCAGTTTTTCCCCTCCATTTAGTTCCTAGAGAATTTTTTTCCTTTTGAAACATCTAAGCATACTTTGAACAGGAAAATATTTAAATCTATGATTAGACAGCTTCACTAATATCTGAGAATTGGCCCATGGACTAACCTTGTATGTCACATAATGACCAAGTGAAGTTTTGTTTTCATGCCCTGTTTTTCTTTGGAGTTATATATCTTAGAAATTAGCTCATTATCAGAAAAAAGAATGAAGAACTGGTGAATTATAATTCAGGAGTTTTGCCAGTGAATGAATTGTTTGATTTGCCCAGGCAGGTTAAGAACCACGTGGTCAGATTCACTAATGAGCCCCTGGATTGGGGCGTCAGCTAAGGGACGTTGCTCCAGCGGCCTTTCGTACCCTGGTGCACTACGTTCTTTGGCAAGAGAACATGAAAGCAGCGATAGGTAACTGAAGACTGCCCTCGGCTCTGTGGGGTTTTGGAACAGTTTCTGGGGTTAGGAAGCGAAAATGGATTGCCCGTGGAGACGATTGGCAGGCATCTCAGTAGCAGGATTTAAGTGCAGATGACTAAGCCATTCACAGAATGCATGCGTATTTAATTTTATTAACTCCTTTCATCGGCCTTTTTAGATCTTTTGGGAGGAAGGTTGAGACTTTTATTGGAAGGACTTGGGCAAAAGTGAAGGATTAGAATTGAAGTATGTGTAATTCTTCCTAGAATTGCTTAGATATTTTTTTAAGGCAAGTTCCTTTTCAGAGTGAGCACTTCTTTTTCTGGAGTTGCCACAGTGTCTTGTTGTTTGTGTTTGACAAGCTATTTTTGATTTAATGCTTTTTCATGTGCCTTTTTTTAAAATTGTTCTATTTTTATGGAAGTACGATTGATAAGCAAGGTTGTGTTGGTTTCAAATACACAGCACAGTGGTCCAACGGCCACCATATCATACCCCCTCCAGCGCAGGCACTGTCAACATAGAAGGGTGTCACAGAATCAGTGACTGTATTCTCCCCGCTGGACTGCCATCCCCATGACCAGCTTATATTATGATTGAGAATTTTTGTGCACATTTACCCCCTTGCCCTCCCTCCCTCCCTACCCAGCCCCTCTCCCATGGCAACCACCAGTGAATTGCTTAAATTTCATTGTTCAAAAATACTTTTCTTTATTCCATTTGGTCAAAGAGACATGCTTAAAATTCTTGTTTCTAAACAAGAAATAGTTTTGCTCTTCTCACACAGGTTTATGTTTAGGGATGGGCTATTGTATGGACTTCTCCTTAGTGACTCCAACTCTGTCTGTGTTTGGAAGAACTCTCAGGAAAGCTTTGAGGGGTGTGGAATGACTCAGATACACCTGCAGTTTTCTTTTCAAAGTAATTTACTAATCATCTTAAAGGAGTAAATTTCTCTGGCTCAGTTTATTACCATCTTTTTTATTTTTATTTTTTATTTTCTAGTCTCAATTACTGTCACAGAAAGAACTCTCTTAGAATACAGATGACAGATCCAGGTGAATTTCTATTTAAAATTAGATACTTAAAATTAGCTCGAGATCCTCCTGTATCTATAAACATCACCATGGAGATATGTGGATGGATCATCATGTGGACATCTTCTCACACGGTCCGTAATTGGGAGCGCACCACCAAGACCAGATGGGAATATATGTTTTGAAAAGAAAGAATAAAAATTAAAAAGAAACCACATGACAAGTGTGACTGGTACCAGAAAAGGAGGACTCTTCTTGTTTATATAAACTGTTTATATAATCCTGCAGAGGAGTTAGACAGTCATTTACTTCGCTTTAGCCTCATTCCCATTTCTAAGGGTGATGTTTTGATAAAAAGTTCACTTTTATCAATGTTGAAGGTTAAAAACTACCATACTCCTATTAAATGGTAAAGATATTTAAAACTCTTTTTCATCTTGATACAGCTTTAAGCATTGACAAGACCCCATACATTGATTTATGTTTCATCCCGTTAAAGTAGGGCCATTGCATTAACTAATGTTCAGAGTACAATCAAACCTGTAGTAATAGAAGGACTTTACTTGACATATTTCGGTAAAGAAGCAGCCACTTGCCTTAATATAACTGATATTTTTTCAGCAATGTTATTTTAAGATCAGTTTATTTTAAAAGAGATGATGTCTTGTTTGGAAAAGTTGTTTGTTTCCTTAACATTCAAACTTTTTAATTAAAATTTGCTATTTTGGTAAAAATAAACAGTGAACCACAGACTGTCAGTACGTGGTACTTTGCTTTAACCACCTCTGGGGAGTTGCAGGTGGAACCAGAATGACACCGGAAGTCTTGCCCGCCTACGTGAGTTCTGAAACAGCACGGTTTACATTAAGTGGGGTGAGGAGTGGAGTCCCGAGGTGATCAGTAAGTTTCTGGGTCCAGTTGTTGAAACGCTAGTCGGTGTTTAAGAAGAAGAAAGTACATTAGGGTTACTGCCTAAGAATTGTTCCCAAATCAAGTGATGCTAGAGTGTAGCCACAGCTTCTGTGCATCCTCTTTAATTCTACAGGGTCCCAGTTTCCCATCTTCTGTCCCATTTGACTTAGGAAATGGGCCTCCATTACTGACTGAGAAAACATGGCCAGCTTACAATGTGTGAATACTCACTTCGAAAGTATTTTTTCCAGCTATTTTTCCTTGAATGTCTAAACTCTTCTTGGTTGACAGTGACTACATTCCTAAAGAAGATGACAGAACTGATAAATAATTGTACTTTTTCTGCTCATTTTCCCTCGATTACTTAACATATCATTTAAAAGAGCATCTGTATTTTATTCATATGTAAAATTTTTTTCCCCAAAGATGCTAGTAAAATTCAGGAAAGATTGACAAGTGCCTTTATGTGATTAAGAAAGTCAGTCTTATTTGTAAGTGGCTGATATGGGTATTTTTATCTGAGTTAACAGATCAGACAAAGACTTAAAAGCTATTGTTAATATATTACAGTTTTTGTCATTTTTTTTCCAAAATACGCACTTGTGCCCAAGTAAGTCACATTCACCCCAACAAGAAAGATCACTAAAGGGAAACAGTCAATGCCGGTTTCTTAAAGACGTAAGCACAGGTCTGCTATGTTGGACTTTGTAAATACCCTTGATGCCTTGTTAGCACCAGGAACGCAAGAAATACACAAGTTAGAAGTGAATTGTCAACAGAAGCATATTATATTTGTTTGCTTATCGTGGAAGTTACATTAGTTACTGATTGATGACATTGGTACACAGTACTGGTTTATTCAATAAATATTAATCAATGAAAATAGATCCCATTGGGGAAAAATATTTATTTCATCTTTACTTTTTTTCCATTTCTCTTCCTGTGTTTATTTCCTAATGAGTGTAGCAAGTGAGAATAGTAGCTCTGGGCATGATCTATTTTATGGAGAGAGTTCCCGGAGCATGGTCAGCCAGCGACCCCCGAGAGGGCTGTTTAAAGCCAAAGGGAAAGAACAAGGTTAGGAGGGAGGGCGATGCGAGCGGGAAAGAAAGAGCAGGCCTAGGGGCCGCCGCCGCCTGAAGACGCACGGGGGGTTGGCTCAAGAGGCTCAGCGGCTGGATACTATGACTTTGAATAGGAAAAAAAAAGGTGGAAAGATGAACACTGAAGTCTGTACTGTTAATTCTGTAAAAGGAGAAGTTGGTCAGCCGCATAGGCCGAACACAGTTCATCATGTCTATTCTTAATGACACCTGTCAGCATTTGGCAGCATCAGGAAACCGTAGTAGCACCACTGTCTTCCCAATAGGATTTATGAGCTTAATAAAGTGCACCCAGGAACTCCAGGACGTGGGGTGGCAGTGGTGATGAGCAAGTGGAGCAGATGAGACAGAATAAACACGTTTACCCCCTTCCCCAGATCTCTTTTTCTTTCTCCTCATTTTCTTCCTTTTCCATCTCCCTAAGTATTCAGTGGTAGTGAGAAGAGTTGATAGAAAGCCTTTCCAAGGACTTGTCAGAGAAATATTCCCATATCCCCCCAACCCAAAGACAGATTTTTAATGATAAAAGAAAGAAAATCGAAGACTAAAATAATTCGTCATTTAATTTAATGTATCTAGGCATTTAAAATGCAGGTCAAATTCCAAAGACCTTTCTATCTGACCAATTTCTGTGTTTCACTATAATTACATTTGCTAAAGAACATCCTTAGGAATCATTATCTATCTGCCTGAGGCCCACCTAAGAAACTGGAAAGAGATCAGCAAAGCAATAAAATAAGCTGCATGTAACAGTCCATTTGCTTGCATTTTCCCTGCCTTCCCTTGCAGATTCCCTGGATTTCTCGAGGGTGTTTCCAAAGCAGTGGGATCTTAAAAAGAAAGAAGGAGGGAGGGAGGCAGGGAAGGAGGAGGTGGGAGAGTTGGAAAACGAGAAATGAAGGAACATACTTCCTGGAGTAAGAATTACGTATTGCATTGCTTAAGAATTAGAAGGGTGGCCAGTTCCTAAATGTTTTCCTTTGTGCCAAGAAACAGGTATTTGCATTATTTTATTTTTTACCACAGCACTTTTCTCCCCATTTTGAACAGAAAAATTGAACAATACCAGCTGCACTGCTTTGAAAATGTTCCTCCGGGAGACAGTACAGGGCTGGCCTGACCCACAGGCCGTCGGGTCTGTTGCCTGAGTGCCCCTCTTCTGTTTGCTGCGTCCTGACGCCCTGGTGCGTGCTGAGGGCTTGCGTTCCCATGTTCCCCCACCTCTGCTGAATGTACCAGAAAACACTTTATTTTTAAGTGAAAACAAGTTGTAAATTTAAAATCTGGTAAGCGAGTTCTTACCAAATGTTAATGAATACTAATAATCACTCCTGCCAGCTAGCTCAGAAGCCCAGAAAGCTCTTACAGCAAAAATACTGTGATTAGCTAGTTTACTGAGAGCTTTCTGTGCACCAGGACTACCACCACATTCTTCAAAGATGTTCTTTCAACCCTAAAAAAAAAAATCCTATGTGATCCATTTTTATTACTCCTATTTTACAGATGAGAAAATGGATGCCTAGTAAATTTAAGAAATGTGCCCAATGTAAATCAGGGCATAGAATTTAAAGACAAGCCTATTTTAACTCTAAAATCTATGCTCTTGAATAATATGTTTTCTCTTGGGTATTTTCTGGAAGATCTTTGTAGTCAGTTACTAGATGAAAAAGCCTGTTCCACACGTTGGTGTGGAACTACATACATCTTTTCCTCAGTGGGACCAATGCTTCACATCAGGTGAACCGTTACCAAGAATTGCCTCACCAGTGTTTGAGGATGTCAACCAGCCCTTCCCACTTGCCCTCTGCTTTGCCACCTCATGATTGTCTAGTATTTCAAAGCAAGTAGGAGAATGGAGACTGATTTGTGGATGACCGTTATTTTTACAGAACATAACACATTTATCAATTGTAATAAAATCATTTATGTTTGACCAAGTATTTACCAAGAACACACTCTCGGTCAGGCATGTATCAGAGGAAAAAACTAACAAATGCAAAGTTTGGTTCAACAGTGCTTTTCTTCAACGACTGGATGGCTGAGTAAAATTATGCATATAGAGTCCCCCCAGATACCCTAGTAATACATGACTTTAATCTGACCTTTTAAATTATTATCCATTTGCCACACCAAGAACTTCAGAGATAAAAGCAGAGAAATAATTTACATTTTAATGTTTAAAGGCTAACTGGTGTCAATTTTGTCTTATATTTTCCTTACCATTTTCCTAATGCCTTACTTTATGCTCAGAAAAAGTATCTGAATGCATGACTTTCTCTTCCTTTTAAAAATTATTTCCTTTATTTTTCACTCTATCTTTAAAATTTTAGTACTCTGAAATATTGCATTCAGTAATTGACTTGAGATGGTGCTTTAAATGAACTAATGAACTTCCTGGTTCTGATCAAGCATGTGCACTGTATTTCATTGTGGTTCTTACACATGAAAAATGTGATATGTTCTTTCTGAGTTGCCAAAATGTGTTCTTTATTATTTGCCTATTTTCCGTTATTTGGGATGATATGTTTTTGTTCCTTTTAACATAAAAACATATAAGTATGCTATTACAGATTATTTACCTTTACTTTTTATTATATAATTCCAAGTAATAAAATTTACCATGTTCAATGGGATGTGTCTTGTGTTCTTTTAGTATTAGTAATAATACGTTGGTGTAGAACTACATACATCTTTTCCTCTGTGGGACCAATCACAGGAGACTGGTGAAGGATTGGGGTACTGTCTGTACGTCTCCAAAGAGCAAAGCCCACATGGAGAAATAAAACCACGTGGGCTAAGTATCAGATTTGATAAACAAATAAGGAGGCTAAAAGATAAAAACAAATTCCTTATTTATTACTCTATTCAAGATGAAAAAGTAAAGGTGCCACTTTATCGAAGTTGTTGATTAGTATATTCAGTATTCCTAATTCACTTGGGAATGGACCCCTTTCTGATACCAAGAAAACCAGTGATGGTGTTTTCTGAAATGTCTACTCTAGGTTCTGTTAAAGGACAGCCTTCTTTAGCACTGTAAGTGATGGTGCCACTCTACCATTTAAAGGACTCTGTTTTCTTTTTTAAAAACATTGCAAATAAAAATTAAATATTTTGTATGTTGTTATCATGGCATTTACTGATTTCAAATACAGATATTTGTTTGCTGGTCCATTTCAGCCTTTTCAGGGACAAAGAGCTCTTTGAAACCAAAAAGAAATGTCTCCTTTATCCTGTCATTTTTTACCACCCACCACACGGCTCTCAGTTTAGAAGATGAATAATATTGTTACTAGTTATGAAGCACCCATGAAAACATATTTTTAACATTGTTGTGTGTTCTGCGGTAATAATTCTTCTGTACCAAGACTCTTGAATATAATTTGATGTCTCAGAGCATTGCTCATATATCTCTGAGTTGACAATTGTTTTCTGCATTTTATATAAGTATAAACATTTTTTAATATTATTTATTCCTTCTACTGTAAGTAATATCTGTATTACCCAAAATGATACATACAATCATTCTTTGAAATTCTACTCCAAGTAGATAAATTGCCTATAACTTTTAGGGTTATAGAAAAGTATTTGTTCCATTCTGGGGAGGCACAATGACACATTGGTTAATTATTCTCATAACTGGACTGAATTGTGCTACCATCTCTGATTCATGCATTTAGCAAGGATTCATTAAATCACACTCTACTACAATCTGTATTAGATCCCAATTGATGCCAATTGCATTTTACGTGGCAAAGGTTATCGTATGTATCCTGAATAATAATGCTATTTTAAATGATAGCATTTATCTCCTTTCATAAAAAGAGACACCATGAAATCCTTTAGTGAAAAGCATAAATACTATTATCACTTACATTTTATGTTTAAAAAGAATGTAGCCTGCTGATTACAGCATATAAATGCTCTTTAGGTTAATTGCAAGGAGGACAGTTTCTGTATTCTAATGTGAGCTTAATGCACTAGTTGGGATTCATTGGTTTATTAACCAAATTCTCATTCTAGGCCCTCCAGGCCCTCCAGGTGGTCTGCGAATAGAGGACATTAGGGCCACTTCGGTGGCACTTACTTGGAGCCGCGGTTCAGACAATCACAGTCCCATATCTAAGTACACCATCCAGACCAAGACTGTCCTTTCAGATGACTGGAAAGATGCAAAGACGGGTGAGTTACATTGGTCTGATAATTTGTACATAGTTTCAAATGAATTCTTTTAGCAAAAACAAAGACCTGGACATTTAAAAAACTGTCATCATCTACCCTAAAATGCTTTTTTATTTAGGTTTCTTTTTTTTTTAGCATTCGAGTACCTTGGTAGTGAAGATAATTACAGGAACCTAAACATTTTAAAACTATAAGGGAAAAAGCATATCTGAGCCTAAAATGGGAAAGCAAAGAGTCCCCCTGATTTCCTTATTTAAGCTATATGGAACTCTAAGATTTATTAGGAAAAGTTTTGGGGAAATCTTTTTATATCAAATGCCATCTATAGATTATAATTTATGATGTTTTTTCTCCAATTAGATAGGCATTGTAGTTTTGCATTTTTTAGCCACGTTGATCAGAAATATTAACTTAAGCACCCACGTCTTACTACCATAACCCTTTACTTTCCCAGGATGATCTTGCCTGCTTTGAAGTTCTTCAAAACATACTTTGAAAAGGTTTTGGATCTTAACTTTTTTCCTTTCTAATATTAAGATTTTCTAAAACTTGATCAGAAAAAAATAGGAGTAAAGTAGGTACTTTCTCTTGCCTGTGACCATTACCATTGCCATTTGTCATGACTGGTCTACGACCTCACACATCATCAGCTCATCTTCTCCTGTAACATCAAAGAACAGGGAGGATCCTTTTGATAAAATAACCTCTTCATGTTTGTCATTTTTGCCATTATTTTTGAACAAACTTGTCATTGCCAGAATTTTTCTTTAATATGCCTAATGAAGAGACACAGAATTATGCACTCAGTTGTCACCAAAGGGGAGGAAAGAAGACAAAAGTGAATAAAATGTTTTTCCTTCTTAAATATGAAAATGAATTAGGCCCAGCCTATCCCAAACCCACTCTAATTTAATTTTACTTAACATAATTGAATTTTTTGTATTGCTCACTGAAGTAAAAATTGAACAATACCAGCTGCACTGCTTTGAAAATGTTCCTCCGGGAGACAGTACAGGGCTGGCCTGACCCACAGGCCGTCGGGTCTGTTGCCTGAGTGCCCCTCTTCTGTTTGCTGCGTCCTGACGCCCTGGTGCGTGCTGAGGGCTTGCGTTCCCATGTTCCCCCACCTCTGCTGAATGTACCAGAAAACACTTTATTTTTAAGTGAAAACAAGTTGTAAATTTAAAATCTGGTAAGCGAGTTCTTACCAAATGTTAATGAATACTAATAATCACTCCTGCCAGCTAGCTCAGAAGCCCAGAAAGCTCTTACAGCAAAAATACTGTGATTAGCTAGTTTACTGAGAGCTTTCTGTGCACCAGGACTACCACCACATTCTTCAAAGATGTTCTTTCAACCCTAAAAAAAAAAAATCCTATGTGATCCATTTTTATTACTCCTATTTTACAGATGAGAAAATGGATGCCTAGTAAATTTAAGAAATGTGCCCAATGTAAATCAGGGCATAGAATTTAAAGACAAGCCTATTTTAACTCTAAAATCTATGCTCTTGAATAATATGTTTTCTCTTGGGTATTTTCTGGAAGATCTTTGTAGTCAGTTACTAGATGAAAAAGCCTGTTCCACACGTTGGTGTGGAACTACATACATCTTTTCCTCAGTGGGACCAATGCTTCACATCAGGTGAACCGTTACCAAGAATTGCCTCACCAGTGTTTGAGGATGTCAACCAGCCCTTCCCACTTGCCCTCTGCTTTGCCACCTCATGATTGTCTAGTATTTCAAAGCAAGTAGGAGAATGGAGACTGATTTGTGGATGACCGTTATTTTTACAGAACATAACACATTTATCAATTGTAATAAAATCATTTATGTTTGACCAAGTATTTACCAAGAACACACTCTCGGTCAGGCATGTATCAGAGGAAAAAACTAACAAATGCAAAGTTTGGTTCAACAGTGCTTTTCTTCAACGACTGGATGGCTGAGTAAAATTATGCATATAGAGTCCCCCCAGATACCCTAGTAATACATGACTTTAATCTGACCTTTTAAATTATTATCCATTTGCCACACCAAGAACTTCAGAGATAAAAGCAGAGAAATAATTTACATTTTAATGTTTAAAGGCTAACTGGTGTCAATTTTGTCTTATATTTTCCTTACCATTTTCCTAATGCCTTACTTTATGCTCAGAAAAAGTATCTGAATGCATGACTTTCTCTTCCTTTTAAAAATTATTTCCTTTATTTTTCACTCTATCTTTAAAATTTTAGTACTCTGAAATATTGCATTCAGTAATTGACTTGAGATGGTGCTTTAAATGAACTAATGAACTTCCTGGTTCTGATCAAGCATGTGCACTGTATTTCATTGTGGTTCTTACACATGAAAAATGTGATATGTTCTTTCTGAGTTGCCAAAATGTGTTCTTTATTATTTGCCTATTTTCCGTTATTTGGGATGATATGTTTTTGTTCCTTTTAACATAAAAACATATAAGTATGCTATTACAGATTATTTACCTTTACTTTTTATTATATAATTCCAAGTAATAAAATTTACCATGTTCAATGGGATGTGTCTTGTGTTCTTTTAGTATTAGTAATAATACGTTGGTGTAGAACTACATACATCTTTTCCTCTGTGGGACCAATCACAGGAGACTGGTGAAGGATTGGGGTACTGTCTGTACGTCTCCAAAGAGCAAAGCCCACATGGAGAAATAAAACCACGTGGGCTAAGTATCAGATTTGATAAACAAATAAGGAGGCTAAAAGATAAAAACAAATTCCTTATTTATTACTCTATTCAAGATGAAAAAGTAAAGGTGCCACTTTATCGAAGTTGTTGATTAGTATATTCAGTATTCCTAATTCACTTGGGAATGGACCCCTTTCTGATACCAAGAAAACCAGTGATGGTGTTTTCTGAAATGTCTACTCTAGGTTCTGTTAAAGGACAGCCTTCTTTAGCACTGTAAGTGATGGTGCCACTCTACCATTTAAAGGACTCTGTTTTCTTTTTTAAAAACATTGCAAATAAAAATTAAATATTTTGTATGTTGTTATCATGGCATTTACTGATTTCAAATACAGATATTTGTTTGCTGGTCCATTTCAGCCTTTTCAGGGACAAAGAGCTCTTTGAAACCAAAAAGAAATGTCTCCTTTATCCTGTCATTTTTTACCACCCACCACACGGCTCTCAGTTTAGAAGATGAATAATATTGTTACTAGTTATGAAGCACCCATGAAAACATATTTTTAACATTGTTGTGTGTTCTGCGGTAATAATTCTTCTGTACCAAGACTCTTGAATATAATTTGATGTCTCAGAGCATTGCTCATATATCTCTGAGTTGACAATTGTTTTCTGCATTTTATATAAGTATAA